CCCAGTGCTGAATCCCTAGAGGCTAGTGTTGAATGAATGAGAGAAACCCGGAAGTTTCTATCTTCAAATTTTAGAGCGGAGGGTTAATTCTACTTCAAGCCTCCTTTATTTTGCTTAACTTTATGGAGTTTCAATATCTATAGATCTCAAAGTGCCAAGAGAGAACACTACCCTTTCCCACTTGATTGTGGTGACCAGTAAAATAATTGCAAAGTCATCTATGAGTAAGACTCTAGACGGTCTGCATACACCTACAAGAGCTGGGGAAATGTGTGGGGTCTAGCATATTCAGTATGTCGTCCTCATGTAGCACCAGAGCAAGCAGTCTTTTACACCTTTCATTGCACACATAATGCCTTGTACAAGTAGGCAGGCAATGTTTGGTTGCAGTGACACAAATTCAACTAATCATTTACAATGACCACAAGTAAGTGCCAGATGAATTTTTGAAACTCACTCACGTGTGAAAGCCTATTTTTTCCACAGGAATAAGCTGAGAGTGACAGATCATTGGAAGGCGTTTCCTTACTGACTCAGAGACACTCTGTAGATACTACTTGCTTATTTTCACAACTTTCAGCCTTATGAAAATTGCTTTCATGTCCTTGTGGACCGAGGTGTTGTGGGGAGTGGAGAGCGGAGGGTCAGGCTGCAAGTTTGTCTTGGCACAATTGTTTTGGGGCTGACACATTTTTGGCCAAGGGGAGCAAGGAAAAACAAAACAGGAACTCACCCACTCTCCCTCTTCCATTCCCAAACATGTGGAGCAATGCAGAGGTACAGCAGCATGTACTGGAGAGGAGGAAGATACTCCAAGGTTTGTTCCTGGGTGTGGGTACCAGGGCTCTTAACTACATCTGTTTAGCCATGGTAAATCAAGGATTGTGCAACTCTATGAATGAAGAACACATCCTGCATTGCTATTTGGAAGCTGGATACAAGGTTTCCAATTCCAGAATGAGTGCAGCCCGATGTTCAGAGAATCCTGGTTTCAAGAGAAGGGCTAGGCTCTATGGGAAATTGGGAGGATAAGATCACTCTTCCAGACCCAGGCCTGCTGGATAAGCATTTCCACCATCATGACAAAGTCCAGTGGGGAGTTTGGTTGGGTTGTGCTATTCCCTGAAGCCCGAACCCCGTGGGTGAATGGTTTCTTAAGTTACAGGGCAGGGAACTCCGTTGATTCATCTTTGTAACTCCCTAACTGGGGCAGCAATCAGCACCTCGCTCCACTCTCCACCAAAGGTGGTGGTTGTTGTTACCTCCTGTCAAGTCCATTCCAATTCAGAGCAACTTTACACACAACAGAAGGAAACACTGCCCTGTCCTGCGACATCCTCACAAACCTTGTTAAGCTTTAGCCCATTGCTGCTGTCTATGTGTCAATCCATCTAGTTGGGGGTCTTCCTCTTTTTTGCTGACTCTCCACTTTACCTAACATCATGTCCTTCTTCCGGGACTGATTCCTCCTGACAATATGTCTGAAGTATGAGAAATGAAGTCTTGACATCCTGGCTTCTAAGGAGCATTCTGTAAGTACTTCTTTCAAAACCAATTAGTTTGTTGTTTTACAGTCCATGGTACTTTTAATATTATTCTCCAAGACTATGGCTCAAATGCATTCATTCTGCTACAGCCTTACTCATTCACTGTTCTACCTTCACATGCATAGGAGTCTATTGAAAATACCATAGCTTGGGCCAGGGGCACCTAAGTCTTCAAACTGACATCTTTGCTCTTGAACACTTTAAAGAGATCTTGTGCAGCAGATTTACCTAATGCAATGTGTCAATTGATTTCTTGACTTCTACTTCAATGAGTGTTGATTGTGGATCCAAGAAAAATGAAGTTTTTAACAACATCAATCTTTTCTCCATTTATCATGTTATTTATTGATCCAATTGTGAGGATTTCAGTATAGCTACAACCCATACTGAAGGCTGTGATCTTTGTGATCTCCATCAGTAAATATTTTAAGTCCTCTTCACTTTCAGCAAGAAAGATTGTATTATTTGCATATTGCAGGTTGTTAGTGACTCTTCCACCAATTCTGATGCCAAGTTCTTCATATAATCCAGTTTCTTCAATTATTTGCTCAATATACAGATTGAATAAGTATGGTGAAAGAATACAACCCTGGCACATACCTTACCTGATTTTAAACCATTCAGTGTCTCCTTGCTGTATTCGAATGACTGCCTCTTGGTCTATGTATAGGTTCTTCATGAGCACAGTTAAGTTTTCCAGAATATTCATTCTGCACAATGATGTCCATAGCTTGTCATAATCCACAGCGTCATAGCTTTTGCATAGCCAATAAAGTACAGGTAATCATCTCTATGGTATTCTCTGCTTTCAGCCAAGATCCATATGACACCAGCAATGACATCCATCATTCGATGTCCTCATCTGAATCTGGCAGTTCTCTGTCAATGTACTATTACAACCATTTTTAAAATTATCCTTAGCAAAATTTTATTTGCATGTGATATTAATGATATTGTTGGATGAGTTCTTCAATCTGTTGGGTCACCTCTTTGGAATGGGCACAAATATGGATCTCTTCCAATCAGTTAGACAGGTAGCTGTCTTCCAAATTTCTTGGCAGAGATGAGTGTCTCCAATGCTGCATCAGTTTGTTGAAAGATTTCAATTTACCAGCGTCTTGTTCTTTGCCAGTGCCTTCAGTACACTTGGACTTCTTCCTCTAGTACCATTGGCTCTTGTTCATATGCTGTATCTTGAGTTGGTTGAACATTGGCCGCTTCTTTTTGGTAAAGTGACTCTGTATTCCTTCCTTCTTCCTTTGATACTTTCTATACCATTCAATATTTTTCCCATAGAAGTTCTTTCCTTTTGGTATTCTAACTCCAAGTCTCTGCATGTTTAATTATAATACTTCACTTTGTCTTCCCAAGCTGCAGATTACCCACTAAGTAATGTAAGCATGGGGTTATTTGTGCTTGCTTACTACTTATCACTTTATTTGGTCCAGATTTTCTGGAGTCCTTGGAAGACTGATAATACAACCCAAATTGTTTGCTTTCTCTAAATCTCTGAAGGTGACATCTGGAAAGGGAAACTACTGTGGTAAGTCCCAAGTTTCCAGCTGACCTCTAGGAATGAGATGGAAAATTTCTCCTATAACATCTATGATGATGACAATAATGATCAATCTTTTTAACCATACTGCATGAGTTAATTTTCTCTGTAGCCAGTCAGCTCTGGAGAGAATGCCAGGAACTATCAGCTAATTCTATTCGATTAGTCTTCTCCATATCTTACTTCTGAGGATTATGTTCTGTGTTTTGGAGTATTTTGTTTTGTTAACATATACTGTTTCTAAATTGGAAACTGGGGAAACCATCTGATGCATTCCCAAAAGCCTCGCCCCCAAACTACTACATGGTTTGTCAGCAATCCCTTGGTTGATTCTCAAAGCTCAATCCAATTCAGGATGAGTCAGCAGTGAGCTGTAACTCACAGAGATGGGTGAGTGGTATGGTGGCAGCTCTGCCTGCTCCTGACTTGCTGTGACTGATCTTTAACCAGCTGTCCACTTCAATGTCTTCATTTGCACTGGACAGGAGGGGACTACTCTTGATACTCAAAATATGGCTCATAGACCACATCAGTGCAGGCATCACTTGGAAACTTGGTAGAAACAAGAAATCCCAGACTTTCTGATTCAGAACCTACTTTAATGAAATCCCCGGAGGATTCACATGCACATTAAAGTTTGAGAAACACTGGGCTAGATAGTTTTTTGAACCTGTAATATATGCAACAACTTGCATGCCCCGTACTCTCCTACCCTCCTGTCTCCCAGGGATGTATAGGATATTGAAACTTGGGTTTGAATCCTAACACTGTATATAGTCCATCTAAGACTTGGACAAACTGCTACTTCTGAGCATCAAAACAGTGAGGTGGTAAAGAAAATGTTAAGTAAAAAGCCCAACGTGCACACAATTACAATCCAACTTATTATAGTACCATTATAGAGGAAATATAAAATGTGGGACAAAAGCCCTGGCTGCTAAAAGTGGAATCTGCTGTTTTCACTTTAGTTTAATTAAGTTGTTGCTGTTAAGAGCCATGAGTCTGTTCCGCCTCATAGGGTTTCCAAGGAGCAGCTGGTGGATTTGAACCGGACTTATGGTTAGCAATCTAGTGCTTATCCTACAGCGCCACATCAGGACTCACTCCTAGTTTCGTTATTATAGGGAAATATTAATACAAATTTAACTAAAACTCTTAAAAACATTTTTTAATTTGAAGCAAAGCAGAAGTCAGATACTGGCTTCTATGCAACCTTTAGAAGCTCTGGAACTATTCATCCTCCCAACTTCAAATTCTTTCCAATTTGCAGCTGGGAAAACTTGGTAAACAAACAGCTATTTTGTGGTTGGGTTTCTTAGAGGAAAGGCCACACCCAGAGGCTCCGGCTGAAATTAACACCAGGAAGTTGCCTCACCTCGCGTCTCAGAAATACCCTTCCCGGGAGTCTCCACCTCCTGACGAAACCAGGTGGGAGAGGTGGTGTGGTTGTTGTTGACTGACGATGCGTCGGTTCAGACTCATAATGACCCTGTAAAGGGTTTCCGAGGGGCAGCTGACGAGTTCGAGCCACCGACTTTGTGGTTCAAACCGGCTTTACGTACCGTGAAAATGAGCGGCCATTTTATTTTAGTGGTCCGAGCTCCTAGCCGGAAGCTAAAGACCAGTGCACAAGTCTGGGTCGTACCATTCTCTTGATTTAATCACTCTATCCAAATTTGAAACAGTTATAGGGGTAGTTATCGTAAACTAAGACCTCAAAACCATTTTTATATCTATATAGTAGTGGAAAACTTGAGCTACATAAAGTTAATTTGGAGCAAGTGGTTTCGCTTTCCTCTCACCTGTGAGTTCTTTTACACCTCACTTCCGGGAGTGAGCGCAGGCTCTTGGGCAGACGCACGCGCTAGTCTAAGAAGATTGGTCCCACGGTTGCTGCTATGGGCCGGAGGAAAGCGCCGGGCACTGGCTCTTTGGGCCGGGCCCTCATCCGACATCAGACTCAGCGCAGCCGTAGCCACCGCCACACCGACTCCTGGGTAAGACAGACCCTGTCTTGTTTCTCGTCCTTTTTGTCACGTTATGAGAACCTGAATGCTGCGAAGTGGGGGATCTTGGGTTACTGGGAAATTTTCCAAGGCAGTGTTATCAAGCCGAGTATCAAGAGGAGTTTACGTTTGTGCCGTACACAAGCAGGTGTGCCTGGAATTCCAGCAAGGCACAGAGCACAGATATAGAAGTGTGAATGTGCTGGTGTAGTGTTGAAGCTGAGGGTAAGATCCTGAAAAGTCTTAATTCCCCAAAATAGTACTGTGGGCCTCTGCCTTGTATGCTATGAGCATCCCTAGAACTTTCCGAGTAGCAAAGAGACAACACTTTCCTTTGTATTAAGTTGCACCAAGAATTGACCTTGCAACAGCTGCCAGTTGGCTCTAGAAATAAAAGTAATCCAGATTACTTGTTTCACTTTATTCCCCTAGTGGTTTTTAGCTCAACGATATCTAGAAATGTAGTACGAACAGTTCATTTTCCCTTGACCTGTGGAAGCTCATAGTTGTAGGATCCTTGAAAAATGGATGAAGTAGTTTGACTTGGATTTATCATTGTATTTGTTATTCCATTCATTCCCCCAAGTATTTGGGAATTAAGTTCCTAATAAGATGCTGTGCTGAAGCCGAAGATAATTACTGCTAACTGTTGTTAAGTGCCGTCGAATTGGTTCCGACTCATAGCAACCCTATGTAGGATTTGTGAGAAGCAGCTCGTGGGTTCGAGCTTCTGAGCTTCCGACCTTGTTTGCAGTTGCTGATCCGACAGTTGTCCACATGTTGTTTGTGGTTAAGTGCTAACGAGTGGGTCCCAACTCATAGCGACCCCATATAGGGTTTCCAAGGAGTGGCTGGTGAGCTTCAGCTGCCAACTTAGCAGTTCATACCAACCTTGCAGCTCAGTGCATTAACCCTCAACCACACCAGAACTCCAACTGTACATGTGTACATATAGCAGCTTGTGCATGCCTACATACTATCTATCTGGCTTCCAGCCATGTCAGTTGGAGAATAAATAGCATTCAGAGCTCATCAGTATTCATCATACCAGAGTTACTCGAGCATTAGTTTATTGTTCGTTTACCGATTTAACCTTTAGGAAGTAATGAAAAGATGAATATTGTGCTTTTTCCTGATTCTGTGCTCTAATAACCTTTTGACCCACCATTTTTTCATTTTCTTGGTGGACCTGTTTATATCTGTAGTAAACATACTGGGTAAGATGGTGCTCTTCAATCTGGGAGTGGTATCTGAAAAGTCACTTTAGGAGATAGCAGCTAGCATTGTTTAACCAATAGGATCGAATTAACAGAAGAAAAAGCAGTGCATTGCATGTAATAAGGTAAGTATTGTTCCAGGACAGGTGATATGCTAACATTTGTATCTTTATGTCTCACATACATTTAGGTCACTAAGCAAGCTACTGCTTTCTGTGGGTCTCCATCAGAAAAATTTAATCAGTGCTGACTGTTGGTAGTCAGGTAGTCTGGATTCAAGTTTTACCTCTGTCACATCTTAATTTGTGACTATAGATAAGTTTTTTGAAAAGACAGGAAGTGAACTTGTTTACCTAGCATGAGATAAGCAAGTGCTCATTTAGATGTTGCCTATTTACCAGTATCGGGAGTCCTGGTGTTGCACTATGGGTTAACGTGCCAGACTGCAAAGCCGTTTGAACTGCAAGGTTGATGGTTCAAGCTTACCAGCTGCTCCTTGGAAACCATATACATGATTACTATGGGTCGAAACTGACTTGACACTTAATAACAACAACAACATTAACAGTATTGACTGTAAACGGCCAGCATCATTTAATAGTTCTGTGGTGGTGGTGTGCCGTGGAGTCAGTTCCATCTCATGGTGGTTGGTGATTATGTGCCCTGGAGTCAGTTCTGACTTATAGAGACCATGTACAGGGTTTCCAAGGCTGTAAATCATTAGGGAGCAGAAAGCCTCATGTTTCTCTGGTTGGTTTGGAACTTCTGACCTTGAGGTTAGCAACCTGACTTGTAACCACTATGCTACCAGAAATGGTTCCATAAAGTTTTTTAAAAGCCTGTTGTCCGTTGAGAGCCAAAGAGAGCAGCTGTATTTATTATCTGTATTTCATTCACAGTTACATACAAGTGAACTCAATGATGGCTACGATTGGGGTCGTCTTAATCTTCAGTCAGTGACTGAACAAAGCTCCCTGGATGACTTCCTTGCGACTGCAGAACTTGCAGGAACCGAGTTTGTGGCTGGTACGTTACATTGTCTGCTGCTGAGTGCACACACATGGTCATCTTCAGGAATGGATAACAAGCACATCTACTTGGAAGGGTTTGATAACCCTACTGAACTCATAAATGGCTTGTCATTGACCCAAAGACATCTCTAAAAGCACTTCACATTAGTGCGACATCATCTCAAACTCAAGAACCTCAATCTCCTAGAAAAAAATGTCATTCACCATTATGATAAGCAATACCAACATTTTCTAGAAAATGTTTTCTTCTTGATACCATTGTTAAAGACAGACTTTTTTTTTTTTTAACTTACTATTGTGAAATGTGTGAAAGTGTACAAAGCAGATCATTAATTCATTTTATATTCAGAAAATCCTAAAATTTTGTTCATTTCATTGATTACAATTGCTTCAGTATAACATCACTATCCTGCTTCGTCCCTGGGTTTCCTGTTTCCATTCCTTCTCCTTTCCTAACCCTTCTGAACTTTGTCCTTGGGCAAATTCTGTCCTGAGTCCTGGTATCTCACTGTAGGATAAGCAGTGGACCACAAGGTCATTTGAACTGCAAGGTTGGCATTTCAAATCCACTCAATCTACCAGTCGCTCCTCAGGAGCCCTAACCAGGTTTGCTCTGAGTCGAAACAGACTCAATAGCACTAAACAACAATTCATCTCCACTGGTTGATTATTCTAAAGTGTGCCTATAGTATTATTGTTCCCCTTATAAACCTTTCTAGTGTTTGGCTAAAAATTGAGCCACGGGGCTGAGTTTAGTACCACACCTCAAGGGTGACAAAGGGCCAGAGTGTTGGAGTTCCACCAGTCTCTATCTGACCAGAAAGCTTGGTCACTTTTATGATTTTAAGTTTTGTTCCATTATTTTCTCCTGCTTTCTTGTTGTTGTTAAGTGCTATCGCGTTGGTTCCCACTCATAGCAACCTTGTATAGGGTTTCCAAGGAGCAGCTTGTGGGTTTGAACTGCCAACTGTGGCTTTCAGTCCACTACTGATCCTACAGTATCATACCAAGAGTCACTCTTCTACTCTATACACAATCAGCTAGTGTAATCCCTTTTAGAGCACTTAGCTGTGGTAACCAGGCACCATCTAGTCTCAAGAATTGTGGAGACTAATGTTCATGTGGTCCACTAGTCCATTGGATTAATTAATTGTTGGCCATGTATCTTTGATTTTCTTCACACTTTTCCTTCTTACAGACTAGGAGAGACCAATAGTTGCCCCTTAGATGGCCACTCACAAGCTTTTAAGACCTCAGTCACGACGCACCCAAAGTAAGGCATGGAACATTGTCTTTGTGGTCTGCGCTCTGCCAGTTGGTGTCCCTAAGACCAGCGACTCATTCTTTCAAAGTATTTAGTTAGAACTAAGAAGTCCTGGTGTGGTGCTGTGGGCTAATGCGTCAGACTGCAAAGTCGTTTGAACTGCAAGGTCGGTGGTTCAAGCTCACCAGATGCTCCTTGGAAACCCTATACAAGGTCATTATGAGTCGGAATGCACTCGATGGCACTTAACAACAACAAGTCTTCCTAACTTCTCCCCCTGTATGTACCTCCACATTCATGGATGTATTTGCAGCAAAGGTAAATGTCTATATGCAAACATCCTTTGTCAACCCTATGTCTATTTTGGAGGTATATTATATTCTTACTTTGCTCCCACACCTGTTCAGCCAGCATATCTACTCTGTGGTATATTGCTTTCTGCTTCACCAAAGAAACGTGTATTGATTTCTTCCCAAGTTTAAAATAATCTGTTCTACCTTGAAATCTAAGGAGCTCTGGTAGCATAGTGGTTATGAATCGGCTACTTATCTCAAGGTCAGCAGTTCAAAACTACCAGCTGTTCTGTGGGAGAGAAACAAGGCTTTCTGCTCCCGTAAAGATTTACAGCCTTGGAAACCCTGTACAGGGTCTCTGTGAGTCTGAACCAACTCCATGGCACATAACAACCTTGAAATCTACTTAGCTTCTTCTCTGTTTCCAAGTTCTGAAACTGCACTATTCCTTCTTTTTACTGTGTAATTGTCTTTGTTACAAACCGATTTTTCTGATTCTATTTTCAGTCTTGTAGACATGTTTTACTTAGGATAATTCTATATCTGAGTTGAACTCTTGGGTGGTGGTGTCCTGTTTGTTAATCTCAGGTTGCTTACTGTTGTTGGCTCTCTGAAGAACTTCCTATTTTGCTGGCAATTTTTTCCTTTCATACTTTTACATATGAAATGCCGACTCTTGAGTTAGCTATTGTTACATAGGCAATTTGAATTCTATTTTGGAGTGCTAATCAACAATTATGAGAATTTCTCCATACATATAATTTGCTTTTGCAACTGCTTTCCTTGTTTGTTTGTGTTTTTTAGGGGGGTTTTTTGGTATTTTGTCTTTTAAGTTCTTTAAACAGTACTTGGTACAGAAATAGCATTGTAGACTATCATTACTATTCCAATTGTTTTAAATGTTATTATTGCACTGTTTACACATCATTCATTCAGTCATACAACATGCTTTTGTTGAACACTAATTACTCTCAGGTCAAAATAATTGCCATCAATTGATTCTGACTGAGGGCTACACTATGTCTGTCATTGGCCACTGTTGCCAGGCCTTTCTTCTGAGATACCCCTGGTATGCTCACATCTATCTAACCTTTTGATAAACAACTGAGTGTTCATTGTTTGCGTCATCTAAGAACTCCACCTTTGGACATTGTACTGGATCTTAAAAATATAGTGATGAATAAGACCGTTCCTTTAATACAAGGGGACTTCAAAAAGTTTATGGAAAACTGGAATTAAAAGATTAATGGAAATGTTCCATGAGCTATTTATTTGTAGCCCTGAAACAAGTTTTTAACATGCAATAGAGTCATAAAAGATGGAATTAATATTCATTTCTACTTAAAGAAAGACTAGGGCTAGTCAGGGAAGGCTTCACAGAGGCTACCACTCTAGGACTGAGTCTCAAAAACTAAGTTGATGTTAGAAGGGCAGGTAAGGTTATACAGGTCAAATAGGCAGGTAGAGGGCCCAACCCAAATAGTCTTGTTCAGAGATGGCTAGACATCTGGCCTCACTGGTGCTTAAGGTATAAGGATAAACTAGGAGAATTAATTTTGACTAATGTTATGAATCGGAACCAACTCTACAGCACGTAACAACAATAGTGACTCTGAGCCCTGGGATAAGCACTGGGCTTCTTACTGCAAGGTCAGCAGTTCAGAACTACCAGCTACTCTCAGAAACCCTATACAGGGTTGCTGTGAGTTAGAACCAACTCAATTCTAAAGCAGAACGTTAGCAGCAACAGCAGTGGTGACCCTGGTGTCCTGGTATGGCTCTGTAGGATAAGCATTGGCTGCTAACTGCAAAGGCAGTGGTTCAGAGCCACCAGCTGCTCCTCAGAGACCATATTCAGGGTCACTATGAGTCAGAAGCGAATCATTATCACTTAACAACAGCGGTGACCCTAAGAAGCCCTAATGGCGCTGTGGGCTAGGCGTTGAGCCGCTAATCGCAAAGGCTACCAGTTCAAACCCACCAGCTACTCCATGGAAGAAACACGAGGCTAACTCCCGTAGAGAATAACAGTCTTGGAAACCCTACATAGGCTCTCTCTGAGTCGGAATCTACTTATTAATGGCAAGTTTGGTTTGGGTTAACCAGGGTAGAGCTGTGCTCCATAGGTTTTTTCAGAATTAGATTGCCAGGACTTGCTTCCAAGGCAGTAGTGGGTAAACTCAAACCGCTAATCTTTCAGTTAGCAGCCAAGAGCATTAACCAAGGGACTCCTGAGGTGCAAAGGTACTGTATATGACTGAGCATACATGTTGGAGAGGCAGACACAACACAGCCCAGGTCCTGGTGGGCTTATGGCTTGAAGAGAGGCTTGCAGATTTAAGCAAATATATATGATTTCCCATGGGAGAAAGATATGGAATCTGCTTCCACAGAGATTGTAAACTGGGAAACCCCATGGGGCGTTTCTTTCTGTCCTATAGGTTCACTGAGGGTCAGCCAGAAAAACATGTACGTAAGCTCATGAACAACAATTGGGAGGATAGTGAGAGTAATGAAAATGCTTTCAAACTGCTTGTGCTGGTGGTTACACAACTTTTGTAGGAAGCATTGAATTATAGGTTTTAATTAAGTGAGTTTTATGATACATGATTTATATCTCAGTAAAGCTGTTTTTACAACAGCAGTGATTTACACGAACTGTTTTAGTAGTATAGCAGAGCCACAATTAGGGAGATAAAGAAGTAGGGAGTGGGAGCTGAGGATATAAATGAACATGTGTCTTTTGAGATATTTGACTGTAGCAGGGATGGAGAGCAAAGGAATGTGTGTGTGTGAGAGAGAGAGAGAAAGGATTGAGGTTAATATTAGCATATTCATAGGTTATGGAGCGGGAGTCAGTAGAGAGGGAGAAGTTTGGCTAGATCTATTATTTAAAGTGCATCTCCCATGACCCAGCATTTCCACTTCTTAGTATCTCCTCTAGAACAGTGATTCTCAGACTTTGGGGAATTTGTTAATACATGGATTGCTGAATCCAGACATTCTGATTTAGTAATTCTGGGGTGGTGCCTGAAATTTATATCTTGACAAGTTCCCAGATGCTACTGCTGCTGTTAGTTCAAAGACTATACTTGTGCACAGGAAGGTATAACAGATTAACACATGAGGGGCTTCCAAAAGGTCATGGGAAATTCCATTCTCTTTGAATATATTTTTCCATACACTTAGAAGACCTCTCATATGTAGCATTATTTTAGCAATGGAAAACACCTTCAATATTCAACAGTGGGAAAATGTCTAAATTAACTGTGTTATGCACAATGAAATGAAATGCTTAAGTTAAAAAGAATGTACTAATGTGAAGGATTTCCAAACCTATTACCAAATGAAAAGACCAAGATACAGAATGGCATCATTTGCATTTAAAATATATATATATGTATATATATATATATACATATATATATATATAAAACCAATCCATACACAGTACAACCTTTGAAACAAATCTGTCAGAGAAGGAAAACTCAAATTGTTTCCACTAAACAAGTGATAGGAAAGGCATAAGACTGCACCTTGTCAAAAGCAGAAAACTTGTGAGACCGAGAAAGACAAGGCAGTCTTGTCAAGTTCCAGCTCTCACGAGATTAAGTGTATGTGACCGTGAATATTTAAAGAAGACCTGGAAAGCTGGTCACTTGGTTGATAAACCCAAGGAAGGGAACTAGAACTATAATTCATTTTCTGGTTTTGTTTTTTTGTTGGAGTGTAGGGAGGGAGAGGGGAAAGGCAGATAGAACACTTCATTTGGAAATTATAATTTATCCAAGGTTAGAAGAATCTAAATCAGGAAAGTGTAAGCTATATTTCAGACTCTCAAGTTTATCAAAATGACCAACACTTGGTATCTATATTGTTTCTTACGTAATCATACTTTTTTACAGAGAAGTTGAATATTAAATTTGTGCTTCCTGAGGCTAGAACTGGACTACTGTCTTTTGAGGAGAGCCAAAGGATTAAGAAACTCCATGAAGAAAATAAACAGTTCTTGTGTATACCAAGAAGGTGAGTTGAACAAGAATTTAGAGTATTATAAGGCATAACAAGGCCACTAAGTGTAAAATGTTTCAGTTATTTACTTTTTTCCTGCTTCATTTTCTCATCTGCCAAACTCACGTGTGGAATTGTGTTACGGTTGTTTCAGACCAAAATGGGACAAACAAACTAGTCCAGAAGAGCTCAGACAAGCAGAGAAAGAGAACTTTTTAGAATGGAGACGTCAGCTTGTCCGGTGAGTTTTAAATTAGCTGATAATTTGCCTTGATCTGAATTCAGGCATTTTGGTGTGTTTGTATTGCCGTGTGCTTTTTGACATCAATACTCTTCTAAAGTGGAAGGGATAGCTTCTTACAAGTACAGATTGGTGTGTGTACACACAGCATTATGGGTGCAGGTACAGACTTACACTAATGGTGAGCTGGTTACTCTGCTCAGTTCTGGCATTGTCTCTGTTGAGTCTTCTCTCCACCATTAGGCATTTGAGTTGATCACAGCACTCTTGAGCATTCTCCTAGGGAGAACTGTTGGAGAATTGGGACTGTGTATGGTAGATAAACTTCCAGGCTTAAATTGCTTAGGATAAAATGTGAATTTTGTGTGGTATGGTGTGAAATGGAATCCTGGTATGGCGCTGTAGGGTAAAGCGCTGGACCGCAAGGGCAGCAGTTCAAACTCACCAGCCGCTCCTTGGAAAGCCTTTACAGGGTCACTGAGTCAGAACTAACTCAACAGCACTTAGCAATAACAATGGTTTGAAATAAACTTTATTTTCTTGTTGATTCAACAGAAGGTATATAAAAATAGCTTGACAGATAATATCAGTGTTCTTATTTTTTAATGAAATGAATTTGAGCATTTGTCTTGTTTGAAACCTTCTGTTATAATCTGGCAAAGGTATAAACTTTCCATTCTAAAGCCAGGCTAGAAGAGGAACAAAAACTGATAATGACTCCTTTTGAAAGAAACTTGGACTTTTGGCGCCAACTCTGGAGGGTCATTGAGAGAAGGTAAGTTAGCATTGTATTGTGTAATGAGAACATTGTTAGTTATGTTAGATTTTCATGTTAATATATGGTGTAGCACTGTGGGCTACTGCATCAGACTGCAAAGTCATTTGAACTGCAGTGTCGTTGGCGCAAGCTAACCAGCTACTGCTCCTTGGAAACCTTATACAGGGTTGCTATGGGTCAGAATTGACTCGACGGCACTTGACAACAACAACAACTATGCTTATAAGCCCCCTATGTGTGTGTGTGGGGGGGGGGTGAACTGTGAAGAAGGCCACTGTAATCTCACTTCCGCAGTTTAGTTCAAAGATTTTCTTCAAAGAGAATTATTTTCCAAGATACCGTACATGAACCTTAGATTTGAAGTGATGTGTCTTGAAAAGGGACCCTTCAGACTGTATTTTTCTTAAATCCATAATGTGCACTCAGTAAACATTAGCAAACAGGTTACTTCAATTTAGATTCACAGACAGGAGTAGTACAACACTTTGTATTGTTACTAAGAAAACTGGACTTGGATAGACTTAGAAAAGTCACTTACGTTCCTTTTTACGGTGAGGAAATTGTTCTGCAATTACATAGTTGTGGCTGCACAACTTTGTCAATATGCTAAAAACCACTGAGTTGTATTCTTTAAAAGAGTGAGTTTTATGATACGTGAATTATGTTGCTGTTGTTAGGTGCCATCGAGTCAGTGCCAACTAATAGCGACCTTAATGCACAGCAGAACAAAACCCTGCCTGATCCTGGGCCAATCTCACTACTGTTGCCACGCTTAAATCCATCGATGCTGCCACTTGGCCAATCCTTCTTGTTGGGGATCTTTCTCTCATTCTCTGTCCCTCTACCCTACCAAACACGATATCCTTCTCCAGTGACTGGTCCCTCCTGACAATATGTCCAAAGTATGAGAGATGATGTCCATCTTGGCCTCTAAGGAGCACTCTGGTTGCACATCTTTCAAAACGGATCTGTTGGTTCTTTTGGCAGCCCATGGCACTTTCAATATTCTCCTCCAACACCAAAACACAAAAGCATCAATTCTTCTATGGTCTTCCTTATTCACTGTCCAG